TCCATAACACCTATCTCTATACAAAAACCTCAAATTCAAATTTAAAAATCAGTTTCACTGATGTTTTCCTAAAGGGAATTACAGCATTTATTTAAGAAATGTCATAAAAATGCATTATCTCCATAGCAATAACATAATGCCATTACAATTATTGATAATATTCATAGCTCATTTGGTTCTACATAATGGGCATAGTCTCGACTCAAAAGTGATTGAACAGTTGAAGAATTTCCCTGGTTAGGCTATAACACGATTAAATAATTTCTAATTCTATTGAGGTTTTCTACTGAAAAATTGAATTATATTTACTTGATAGACGTGATTGACGCAATTGAACCATGAGTGTTTCGATGTTTGGTACAAGTCCATTGAGTAATATATATAAATCATCAATTGTTTGTAAGATAATATTAAAATGACGAAGACCCTGATGGGGTTTTAAATATCTATATAATGAAAGTCCATTCAATGATTCAAGAGTAACTGTATGCAGAGTACACATTTGACCAGTAAATAATAATTCATTGAATAATTGATCACATTTATCTATGCAAGGACGTTCTAAAAATAATAAAACTTTTTTTTCTATGTCTTACATTTGCTGATCAAAATTAGAAATAATCAATAGGTTTAATGTAAATTAAAGGTATTTGTATTGAAAAAAAAGAAAATTACAAATATGTTCATCTTTACATATCAAATAATTTTATATTACAATAATGAAGAAAACTGTTTACTTTCATAAAATAAATTCTTTTAATGATAAACTCACCTATATTTGTATCACGTTTGGGATTAATGACATAAAGACATTCAAGTTTTGTGGAGTCTTTATAGTATTTCTTGATAGAATGAAGATCAGTTGAAGTACAATTGATTAAAGTAAGATGTGTCAACTGAAGCAATACTGATTGAATTATATTATCAGGTAAATGGAAAAAATAATGTCCATTTGAAGAGAACCTATATTCATTACTTAATATTAATAGTTTAGGTCGAAGAAGATTGTCTGAATGATAAAATAAATTGAACACATAATCGCATTTGACCAATGTCATGAGACTCAGATTGATCTTTTTATAATAATCATGAACCCAACAATGAAGATAAGAATTCGGTTTTTCAGGTGTATAAAAACAATGAAGAACATCATATATTGATAAGTAACGGCAAATCATCAGAAGAATTTCATTTGGTAAATCAAGTAAACAAGTTACACTACTACGAAAACGTTTCACTGGTGAAATTTGATTAATAATATCATCAATAATACGTTTCATATCTTTATTCTAAGATTATTGGAAAAAGAATACAATAATTATATAAATCGAATGAAAATTGAAATATTGTTTAGAGTTTCTTCACAGTCAGATATGTTTACGTTTGATTAACACTTGAAATATGCTTTAAGAAAATAAAAAATCTGTTGAACGGTCTACATATATGATGATCTCGATGACATTCTATAACGAATACATGAAATGCAAATGATCGATTATCATTGAATGAAAAATAGATTTCATAAAGAGGTCAACTGATCATGAGAATATTTTCCTTTTTATTATATTTTTAGTTTAATCTTTTACATAATCACTTCGTAGAAAATTGATTCAAATGAACTTTGAAGTTTCATTTGATAAATGATGTAGTATATATGGGACGAATATAGGAGTCTTGTCATTTTAAACTCAATTCTATTTAAAATCTTGATGATTTTTGTCTCTGTTTGTTATTCGATGGTACTCTATTTCATTTCTCAATCTCTTAAAATTTAATAAATTAAATAATGGTACATTCAATTGATATACGAATATCTATGACACAACATTTCGATATATTTCAATGTACAGTGCTCTGAAAAATTATAGAATTATCCACATCAATATTTTTAAATACTCTGGACATGTTTCGAAACTAAATTTTAAAAAGATGAAAAAATAAACCTAAATCCTTCTCAAATTCAAATTGAGCCGCCATCAATATCATGCCACGATAGTCTTAGCCTATGCTGGCGAATCAGTTGAACAATTACCATAAGTGACGAAAGTCAGATTCAGACAAGCTCGACAGGTGTTCTCTGTTAAAATTAAATTGATTTGAATTTGTCAGGAGAACAGCATTTACTATTGTTTCAGTAAAATATTTACCATTTAGTATAAACTTAATTTTTCTAACAAACTTAACAAATTTGAATGCCATTGAAATTCTTTAATGAAACTTTAGCAAAAAAATATTAATTTACTAAGTATGTGAGTTCTGACGAATATTCATTAATTATATAATTTAAAGAGTGTTCTTTGAAAGTTTGATTAAAAGTCATTGTCTCTTTTTCTCTGTTGGACATTTTTATAATTTTCATCATCTTTAAACGTGTTGCTCAGATTGTCAATCGAGAAAACTTTCAGTAGATTAGGCCGGTCTAATCAATAGGTTTAGCACACCAGAGATATTTTACGTTCAAAATGTGTTCATTCAATTGATGAAAATTTTTTTTTCAAAATACTACTAAACATGTTCGTTTATTTGGAATCTCTGCAAAATATTTTTCGGATTTTACGTTTGGTGTATTCATGGGCAGCTTCTCCTTTGACTTATTTCGAACTTTTTTTTTTTTTACTAATGCCACTTTTTCGTTTCAAATCCACGCTAATATATAGATTCATATGTGCTCTTGTAGTTTTGATGACAGAAATGTGCATACATCACTTAGTTACAAAAAAAACTTTCAAGAAATAGGTGATGCTTATACCTGTGAAAAAGTATAGAATGGTTTCGAGAATATGGTGAGAAAAAGATCCAGACCTAAACTCAAACAAGGCACACAATTACACGACTAGAACATATCCAGACTTCACCACGCACACTTAGCCACGCGTGCCCGACATATCTTATTATTGACTGTGTTTACGTTGGCAATAGTGAAGAATGTACGTATATTGATAATAATGATTTACTATTTTTCGCGAGAAATGTATTGCAAAGGTAATTATTTTTTGTCTAATCATGATCTATCAGTGACTGACAAGAACAGTGACATATAACGTTGTTTGGCTAACAGAGTATGCGAGTTTCACATGTTAGTTCCATCGATGGCTGGACTAACAAGCCTTTTAGCTAACGATTTCAATTGGTTCATCGAATTTCTTCGCTGCGAAAAAGGACAACTGATTTTATTTCTGTTTTTTTACTTTATACGTAAATATTGAAGCCGTAAACAGTGCGAATCTCAGTTTTTTTTAAAGAAGAACACCGCGTGAAACATGTCACATGCTTTTCGTTACAAAAATTACCGATGGATTGATGCATTACTTTCGTCGTGAATCAAAAGAGGAAGACAAGGAAACAAGAAGTGCTTCTTTTACACTCACTTGACTCTACTCTAATGAAGGGGACGGACGATACAAGCCCTGATGTCATAGAAGTAAGCAAATATTACAAACTATTCTGTTGATCATTTTCAATTATCTTAAATAACAGTTAGATACGGATAGATGTGTCGTTGAATAGCGCGACAGAAATATAAGTATGTATTCATACTAATTTCAAAATGCATTTAAAAAATGAAGAATCTCATATCCTTAAAATTTTTAAAAAATTGTCAATTAATCGCGATATATAGAAACAATAATCGTTAGGTGAAAAGCGATAAATCGCCAATTTTTGGATTATTTTGACGATTTTTATGATGAACTGGGATTTTATACTGTTTTTTTTTGTTCTTCATCATGTCGATCGTTTTTGCAATTTTGTGTACATAAACTTGATTTCCACTATGATTATCATATTCAGAAGTTTTTATTACTGATATAAATGAAAACATATTTTTCTTTATAAATAGAGTGCTCACATTATTCTACATGAGTAAAACATGCAAAAAAAACAATATTGCATACAATTCTTTGTAGTTAAATGAGAACACACTCGAATAAAAAGGAATAACAATGTCTATATATAGAAATAGATTTTCTGAATTGTGTTTTTCTAGGAAAGCGTTTTTCCGTATTCGTTTTTATTCATAAATTGAAAATATAAAAGAGAAAAGCAAGAAATAAAAGTCAAGCGTAAATTAGAACTACATGCAATGATAACAGTAGAAGATGCCGCTGAGGGTGGGGGTGTGGGTGTAGGTGTGGGTGTGGGTGTAGGTGTGGGTGTGGGTGTCGGTGCAGGTGTGGGTGTGGGTGTAGGTGTGGGTGTGGGCGTCTCGTTGAAACAAATATCTACAACCACACGACACACCCCACCCTCACCCACCCACACCCACACCCACCCACACCCACCCTTGTTGATAGGATTTTGAACTTGGTATCTTCATCTAGGTTTTCTTTTTCTGGTATTCACATTGTCAGTGACCGTTCTTTTGTTAATTTTTTTTCTAGTACAGCCCGTTTGATTAATTTTACTAACGGAACACTGTGAACGCCTTTTTAGTAAATTATTAATTGTATTGTATTTGACAACGCAACTCATGTAGATTAAGACAGATAACAAAATTCGTCGTTCAAGCAGAACGACTGAGTAATGATGTCGCAGGTGAATATTCGATGTATTAAATTCATTGCTCTGCAATAGATATTTGGGCGTGATTTCAAGTGATCCGTAGCTATTGTAAAAATACTCCATGATATACTTATCATAAGTAAAGTATTTCTTACCTGTTGAAAACATGTTCATATAACATTCTAAAATAGTTTTAAAAAAACTACTTGATTCATTACATATATGTCTTTTAATTATTTTTTTTATTTCATTATTTAAAAAACAAGAGTCACACTAGATTGCGCTTCCGGAGTAAAGTGTTTTGAAACATAGGATTCTTCAAATGAATTTTGTGGTAAAACGATGTATCCGGACTGCATGGCCAATCTGACTCAAACAAATATATATTTAAACCGTATTTATAGTGAAAATGAATTGACATGGTGCAATTACGATAGAACAGAAAAAAAATAATGTGGCGCCAACTACAAATGTTATGTAAGCGAAGATATCGTTTTGCCATGTAAAAAGACATAAAATGGAAATATGAAGGCGTAATTTTAATAATCTAAACAGAAAAACATAAAAAACTCGGACATGTGGATCCTTTAAGAAGAAGTGTCTTTCGTTCTTATCTATTTCGGATTCAAGAGCAGCTATCCATCTTTAAGATCGAGTACTTTTACAAGAAACTCTACGTTTAGTATACTGAGATTGTCGATATGGTTCGTCTTATCAACTACATTCTACTCTGGGTTTTTATTTTTCAATAAAAAAATGTTGAAAAATAATTTCAGAAAGTAGAATTCAGACGATTGACAGGTCTTTTTCATAATTATTTTTTCTTTATGAAAAGATAAAACAATATTTACTAGATGGTATTCGAGTTTCGACTCGAATACGAAAATGCGGTGCGAAGACGAATCTCGAGTTTTCGAAAAAAACGATATTTCGTAAAAACGAATAATGGATTGTCGTATTAATGTCGAGTAACGTTTCTAGTAAAGCTACTTAAGTTCTACCGAAGCCTGACGTTTCTCACGGTCGTTGTAAATCGAAAAAGTTGCATTTCCATCAATCAGCTGATCAACGTGAAAAACATGTTGAAAAGTAGCCATAAGGAAATTCATTACTACAAGAACTCTATCAAAGTGTATCAACATGTTTCTAACGGAAGCTATCAATTGATCGCTTAATTATCTCTTTATGATTCATTATCTATAATCAGTTGTATTCACAGCTGCTTGACATATAAGAAATGACGTCATTGTTTTAATTATCTCGAAGCTCGACAGCGGTAAATCCTTTCAAATTCGTCTTTTTGGAACGATATTTGTGAGTAAACGGAATGTTCGACTTGACAATGGAAAAAATATTTCAGCAGCTCGATCTCGATACTTCCACCGTGCATTTAACGAATTTTTTGTGATTTGTACTTCTCAAGATTATCGCGTCGCAAAATATGGTATGTGTTGAAATCGGTCTGTTACTCACGATCTAGTTACTGTACCATTTCAAACTCCGTTCAGTACATGGAGTACCATTATCAGTAATCATGGTTTCAATATATATTTTCCTTCTTGATTTTATTATGTTAAATGTTAATCAAAGTGTTAAACTTTGATTATTCACCATTTCAAATAAAATAAACTTTTAATATTTGAACAAATTGAAATTTTGTTTTGATTCGTTGTTTCTTGTTAATTTGATTAAAAACTTTCTGAATAAATTGTTGCTTTGAAAATATATCTTCAATCAATAACCATTCATACTGTTTACTATTCTTAAATTAATCATTTGT